AATGAAAGGAAAAAAAGTTGTGTTTATACATCTGCATTCTGAATATCCGCCCCTTTTAAAAAAACATGCATTTCAACACAGAATGAGTTTGGACACCAGCTATCATCTTCTTTTCAACATTTAAATAAACCACTTCAAGTAGATGAGAGTTTGAAGGATCCTTATCATTATTATCATTATTATTTCAACGACGAGATGAACATTTCAATGTCGACAACAGTGAAGAATATTTTACATCTAGAACGTCGGTTCTAACACATTTTGCTTAACTAAGATACCGTTGATATCCTACCGACCATGCACATACGAAATAATTTTCCGAGATCCTGTTATTCCAATGAATCAGTGTTTTCTCTATTTACCTAGCTATTATGCAGAAATGCTATTCCAATGTCATTAATCCTGATAACTGAGCGAGTGAATTAAGTTCATTTTTATGTTCTAAGTGTTCTGGTTCGAATCAATCATGTTGTACTAGCAGGTTGTCAATGGTTGTTCGTTGACTAGATGTTTAAGAAAGCGCATTAGTTCTAACTTCATGATCATACGAATATGATAATCAAGAAAATGTGACGAGAGACACTAAACGTTTAAGAACTAAGTAAGTGACAGAAAAGATTTAGAGGACATCGCACATAACATGACAGTTCACGTGCTTCAATAATGCAAACTGATTTCCCACACAACATTGCTTATTGTTGTAGCTGTAGTTTGATTCAATTCATTGAATCTACCACGAAGTGTCACAGTGGTGAGATGTCTGTTTTATGGTAGTTTGAACAGACAGTAGAGCAGGTGGTTTTCACTTGAGTGACTGCATCATTAGATTTGTTATTTCTACTCAATCAATTTGTGCCTATTTCGAAAGTAAATCACTGTTTTATTCCACGTTTTCATTGGACAATAATACGTGCTGTGAACACATTTCAGGCTACCGAATCACAGAAACAAAATAATCACTGTGTACTGCTGAGTTTTCATGAAATAACCAAGTAAAGTAATGAATCGTTTACGCAAAACAGAAAGTGCGAAATAAAAAAACGAGACAAAATATCACTGAATGATATAATAACTCACTCTTATTCAAAATCTGATGTTCATGCAACCCACCCTTTTGTAAGTCAGTGTAAATCGTTCCTGATCCTTTTGTTGCTTTCATTTCTATTGTACCTGTGTTTATTGAATGAAAATATGTAATTTGATTGACAATCTGCAGTGAATGAAGGAAACACTTTGAAATAAACTGGAGACTAAAATGAATTGTATGAACCGTGTGAATAAGCAAAACTCAATAACAATTTTTGTTCGAAGAAAATCATTCTCTTACCATGACTGTACATCGTTAGTTCACTGACGTCTGTGCCATAGAATTTAAACAGGAATTTCGGAGGGATTTTCTTGAAAATATACAAACATATGAATTAATACGGTCATTACAAACTGAGATCAACTCACCTCGTCAGCAGTCAATCTTACAAACGTTTCATCTACAACTGGAGAAGGCTGATTACGGCGGATTGTCCGGAAATAGTAGTAATAGTGAGACTGAATATGTGTATTAGAACCCGACCGATTACTTACGTATTCATGTGAGTCGTCTCCAAAAATTAATTTTCTATAATCCAATAGTCCAGGATTCTTGCAAATTTCATGACAATCAAAAAATGTTGAAATTATTACGATAACCGAACTCAGCAGTATGAACTGGCCAGATGGAAAAGTATATCTGAAATAGTTCAGATGAACAAAACAACGTTGTCTCATTAGATCACATTGAAATTCATAGAACACGCTCATTTGTCTCAACTGTACAGTCAACACTCACCTCATCATATTGTCCAAAACGATAATAATTGTTGTTAGATCTTGTTGAGTTTATATAGATTTTAAGTGCTAGCTTGGTTCTTTCTGATTGGATGGTTCAAAGTGTGATCATTTAGACGATCAAAATTCATAAAACCATACGATCATTGTTAACCAATCATCATGTTGGTAGATGAACACATCGTTATGCAATATTCTTCTGGCTAGCTATTGACGCATATCAGCTGACCCGTTTCCACTGTTGGTTGAAATTCTTCACGATTTTTAATGATAACCTTTTTTGGATATCACTAGTATTACTTTACTTCATCAAGTGACTAGTGAACTTGTAGTTCAAAATGTGTGCTCATATATTCACGAACAAACATTCTGTTGCTTTGAATAATCATCTATGAATTTATTGTCAATGATTCATTGTTTCTATATATATATTTCTAAATATATTTAGTCTATGCTATATATAATGAATTAATCAGATGGTTGTTGGCGGTAGTCGACAGTCGACTGGCGGCCATATGACATCATGGTCGATAGCATTCGATCTGCACCAATTATAAGGACTGGAAACACATGACATTGATCACTACCCAGTGATCAATCAATTGTGATAATGAATGAATTATTGATGAATGAATAACACTCTACACTTTCGTAAACGAATAGTAATCTCAGTGCAAGAAACCTAGACTATTTATGTTTTGATTATATTTGCAAAGAGTAATTCTTCGTATTGTGAAGGTGAATTCTGCACTTCAAAATGTTGTCGACAATCAATAACATTTTACATTCTCGTGTATTACAATATGTAGTTGAATAAACGGTTGATCAGCATTAGAATTATCATCATTTGTACATGAAATTGTACAACTAATATGTGGTCTGTTATCACATAATTATTGACTTTTCTTCTTCTTCTTCTTCATAGTGTAAGTAGTAGTAGTTACTTGTATTCATATAACGTATTCACTAGAGCTTGATAAGAATTTACCTGAGTGTCAGATCAGTCATTGATATCCATGGAAATCCTGTTGATTGGAATAGTGAACTAATCTCAAAGAATGATTATCAGTTTCTCCTCATAGGAAAAGTCCACATTAATGTCGATTGAAACTTGATGTTTTCATATGATGATTAGGTTCAATAAGCATTTCAAGTTTGTAAATTATTTTATTCATTATTCATTGAATTCCATTGAGTATGAAGGGAGTTCATGTTCAGTAATAAAAACTACATATCGATGACATGATTCCATTCACTAAGATAACATATAATGCATATCAGTGAATGCAAAAATGTATTAGTGTACCGGCGAATACACAAGGGTCAGTAATGACAGAGCTGAACGTATTATTCACTTTTTCACTCATCACCATAGTACAACAGCGAATTTCTCGAATCTCTATTTTTTTCTGCACAGCATACATTCAATGTGCCTCACTTATTTCAAGAACTGCCATGTTGTATCTTCTCATTTAAAGAACATTTGCGACATAGACCTCGTGACTTCCAAAGAACTTCGGCATTCACGAAGTGGATTCATAATTCTCCAAATGATGATCTTGCATAATTCGCTATGCTGAATTAGTATGATGTAAATGATATTTTCTGGTCAGCAATTTTTAGACCAAGTATAAAGTAACCATTAGTTTATACAAACACCACTGGCTTTCAAATAGTTTGCAATTAAGAATAAGATTTGATAAACTGAGAATTCTGTCCGATACACAGATAACACCAACGTCTATCATTTCTGTTACTTCCTATACAATCTTCAAAGTAAAATTTACTATTTTCTATTCTCAGTGTAAATTATTTGAGCATTTAGTTAATGAGCATATTTCTGCTGAACTCAAGTGTCTACAGAAACATCATTGATTATAGTTTGTTGTTGTCTACCACTTCATTTCATCTCGTTAATCAAACAACATGGTATTCTCTTTACTGTATGCTGTATAGTGGGCGTAATATGAATCTTAATTAGAATAGAACTTATCGCATTCCAATGATGTGCTTATGTGACTAACCTCCACCTACATACATTCACGGAACTGAAATGAGTGAATTTCTCATTTCAGAAACGATTGATACTTTTCTAAATACAAAATGAAGTGAAAACAATTCATTTGGCTGTCAGTTCATAGAAAGTCTCACTCTAACTATGAGTGAACAATATGATCATTCGCCTTCTAATTTCGAGTGAGTTGAGTGATCGTTTACTCATAGAACCATTTGGTTTTCGCCTTCTTTAAAATCAAGAGAATGACATATTAAGAGTATTGACTGAAATCGAAGTAGTGAATAACTATTGTATGATGGTAAATAATTTGATCACTTCAATGGGGGATTATGGAGATTGTCATATTTTTGGTTGAGTTGATGAACCGATGAATGTCAGACCACCAATGAGAACCTGGAAGCGTCAATCGGTCGTCTCATCACAGTACGGAAGTCAGCAGCAGTGAGATTCGAATCCAGGACTATTGGTCTCACGTGCGAACACTTAACCTGTATACCATTGAGTCGGCCGGCATCCAACGGTTTCAGTGTCTAATTTCAATTAATCCACGATATTGTGCGACTGTTCTCTCGAACTCCATCGACGCAATACGCACAATATTCACATATGCTAATAAGAGGCTGATCAATTGCGGTCCTAAACATCAACGGGAATATTCAAGTAAACAATTAGAGACTGAATTTTTAACTCCCCCTCACTGCGGAAGGGAGTGGATATCTGGACTCAGTAGGCAGGTAGTGTTTGAAGACAACGATGCTGGGCTCGAATCCTGGAGTGAACAGCGATGTGCTCAAAATATGTGTTCAATAAATTCATCATCAGTACTTACCTAGCTAGAATCAGTCTGTGTAAATGGACAGTTTTTTTGTTATGAAAATGATAACAAGAACACTTTCAATCTATGATAACACAAATCAACTTTTACTGATTACTTTGAATGTTCTAAGTAGCATACAATCGTATTTCTGATGACTCTAATCAAGAGTATTGAGATTTCTTTTTAAGAAAAAGAAAAAACTGAGAATTTAAAAGTTCATTTCTGATCTTGATTAACTCGTTCATACATAATATATAATTATCGATTATTATCATGTTTTATTTCAACTGGTTTCATTCTTACTTCTTGTTCTTCTTACTTTCATCAACTTGTTCTTATTAGATGGTGATTAGATGTAGTCGACAGGAAACCCTGGACCAGTGTTTCTTGCTAATTAGCACTCGTCAGCAAGGTGTACTTGTAATCTTGAGGCAACTGGTGGCCACATTGCAACATGTTCGATAGCATTCGATCTGCACTAAATAAGGACTTGACACGCATAACATTGATCACCACCCAATGATCACTCTGTTGTGACTTGTTCTTATTTCATAGTTGATGAACAAGTGTTTTGATTGTTCTGTGTTTGTATAACAACACAGTATTCAATATTCAATAATAATGATGTTCTTCATTCCAGTTATACTTTCTGGTCATTAATGTTAGATAAAGTCAGAAAGTCATCTACATACACGTAACTTATAGTCTATAACTAAGATAACAAATCTGGTTCCGATTGAAATCGCGTAAATAATCGTAATACTTTGCAATAAATGAGGAATATGCTAAAGGTTGAGCGTTTGCAATTGAGTCTGATATTTCCTGTGTTCGAATCTGGTGAGGTGAGATCCTGAGTGCGCACTGGAGAGGAGTTCCACAATATAAAGTATATATATATATATATATGGGAATTTTCTTTTGTTAAAGTACTAATTCTATGAGGAAATATAAATAAAGAATAATTAAGATTGTGTAATAGAAAAACTATATTGTTAGATTACTTAATACGAATAATAATAACAATAGACTTAACAAGTTAGTAACGAATTATAACGTGAATGTGATATGATTCAAGTGCTTTTGTTACTTTTGTTCATTAAAGGTCACAGACGTGTAGGGAATAAGTAAAGTGATATCATGAGCACTTATGAGTTAGACAATGAGAATGTGACACATCAGTAAAGGGGGAAATGTAGTAATAATACGAATGATCATACGTTCATTGAAATCGAACGTATTTCGAATGATCATTAATTTTGCTATGAATCACTTAGTAGTAGTTAGTAATAGATTAAGATTCAAAATTCTGTTTTTGTCTCCTTATAAACCATAGAAACGTTTAACATACACATAAAATGATCCATTTATTAAGTGTAAGCATATGTGACTTTGAATCAGAACGATTGTCTTTCAATTTTAACCCATTTCTCTAGGTTGACTGATAAGTCTGCATTATTGATAGTCAATAATATCTATTCCTTGATGAAATTACTTTCTGCAGTGCTATTCGATACTCCGAGAACACACAATGAAATTAGAATGATTTGTAAACTGTTTTCTGTCTACTGAACAGTAACTAACTGCTATCCAGTTTCTCAAATGAACGGAAAGTTTTTCATCTGGTTTATTTTCTATCTGTTGAAATAACCGTCTAAATATTATCATACATCATATTTACTTTTCGGTGATGAACAACACCTCTCAATGCATAGAAAAACGTATCATTATGATGGGACTCTTTAGATCGTAAACATTAGTTTTGACATCTTCATTATGCAATTGAAAGTTTAATGGGTTGTGTCTTTATGATGCTTATAAAGCCTATCTACATTAACATTCATATGATGTAAAGATAATGCTTCTGAGAAACATAGATGTTACCTGGAAATATGTACTTGGTGTTATGAACTAGTGTAGAAACATAATTTGCCGTAAATCAACTACTTAAAATCGAAACACCGCTCCAGTCATTTAGATTGATGTCTGCATTGTAACTTGACCGATGAAGTTGATATTTGGCTGGAGAATCCTCGGTGGGCGCTTTTTCTTGTGCTTGTGGAGGAGCCGATCTGAATAATTTATTATGGAATGCTGGCAAATTATTATTAATTGAGGCTAAACCAGTTAAGCTGCAAGTTGATGCGGGGTCTGACGTAACATTAATTTCTAGAGAAACGTGGATAAAACTTGTTTGACCTCAATTTCAACCTACATATTATGATGCAAAGGGTGCCTGTGATGCTTGAATGAACTAATGATTCCTTTGTACGGTGTGAACGACACACGTGTAAAACTCCTCACACTAGTCAAAGCACTACCGCGCGAATTCAACAGGTACGTAGCACCTAGTATATTTACTAGTGTTTTTTCTGAACACTACAAAACACTGAAACGATATATCTATAAACGCGGAGACCTAATCGATAGACAAAGTTTAGACCAAATCCTTAATAACATCCGCCTGCAACACGGTCTGCAACGGACATATTGCAACGAATGAGAAAGATTATCGGCCAAAAGCCCTTCAATAGTGGCCTGTTCAAACAACTTTCCTTATCCAAACTTCCTGAGCAGGTGCAACCTGTACTGTTTTCGTTTCAAAACAACGCCTTAGACGAGCTGGCTGCATCTGCCGACCGCATTTTAGAAATCACGAAATCTAATGTCGAGGTTTTTTTCCCTCAAAGAAAAGCCTCTAACGACTCAGAATGACGTAACAGAGTTATGTCATACCCTTACACGTTATCTTAAATTTCGTAGCGATCTGTCTCTAGACCACGAGAGACTGATAATCCCGACTGGTACTGGCATCACAACCAGTATGAAAAGTCTCCCAGAAATTGAAGGAAACCTTGCAATTTTCTTCGTCGGTAGTGGCGCAGAAGTTAGCGTTCTTCCTTCAAATTCTAACGATCGTCTTCACGAATCGGCTTTAAACTTACAGGCGGCAAACGGAAAGACTATCACCATATACGGTATAACGTACGTTTCACTTAACGTGGGTTTACGCAAACCTATACACTGGATCTTCGTTGTTGCAGATGTTTCTATGCCAATCATTAATATAAACCTTCTACAACACCAGAATCCATTCATCGATACGCGCAAACGAAGGCCAGTAGACGGAAACAATAATTTATCTGTTTGCGTATCTTCTTTTTCTGGTTGCGGATTATCTCTAGTCACAACTAAGCATACGATAGACCCATTCTATCAACAATTACTCGATAAGTATCCCGGAATACACCAAACGCAACCAAAGTAGCCGTGTGTGACCAGCAACGGTACACATCACATCATATCACATTAACGATTTGAGTTACCTTGAAGAAGGTCTTTTCGAAAACCGCCTTGGTTAAAGCGTATAACCAAGTCTCTATGGCTACTGACGATAGTCCGAAAACAGCTATCATTACTCCATTTGGACTCTATGAATTTTTGCGAATGTCTTTCGGTCTAAGAAACGCTGCTCAAACGTTAAAAAGGTTCGTAGACGACGTTTTTCGAGGTCTCAATTTCGTACATGCGTATGTTGACGACTGCCTAATCGCAAGTCCGGACAGAAAATCACATCTCAAGCATCTGGATCTTGTTTTCGAACGACTACAAAACCACGGCATTACTGTAAACGTTCAGAAATGCCGAATCGGAGCTGACTCATCAAACTTCCTAGGACACACTATAGATGCTCAGGGCATTTGACCCCTTAGGACCAAAGTGGTGGCAATTATGGATTACCAGAACCGACCATGATCAAGCAACTACGAACATTTAACGGCCTTGTAAGTTTCTACAGACGATTCATACCGAAATGCGCTTCACTCATGAAACCGCTAACCGACCAACTTCGTGGAAACGCGAAATCCATTAATTAGAACGACAACGCACGAAAAGCATTCTCCACAATTAAGGAACTCATCGCTAAAGCAACAATGCGTGCATATCAGGACACCCGAGCACCCATTAGCATCGTAGTAGACGCATCCGACTCAGCAATCGGAGGAGTCTTACAACAAAGGGTTAACAACTCCTGACAACCATTGCCATTTTTCTCTAGACGGTTGCTAGACACCGAATCGAGGTACAGTACATTCGGTAGGGAACTCCCAACCATGTATTGTTCTGTAAGACATTTTCGACACTCCATCGCAGGTCGTGAATTCACTCTTTTCACTGACCATAAACCGCTCACCCTCCCTCTAAGCTATCCTTTAGAGAAGTACTCTCCCCATGAAATTCGACAACTGGACCACATTTCGCAGTTTACTTCAGATATTCAACATATTTCTAGAGCAAACAATGTAGTCGCAGACGCCTTATTTTGCATAACTTCCTTGAACAGTTTCCAAGGAATCGACCTTATTAAACTCGCCCAGAAGACACTGATCTTCAGCGTGATTTATCGTCTACAACCCTCAAACTACGCAACAAACAGATGGGAACAGGTAAGGAAACCTTACTTTAAGACGCATCTACAGGTAGAGATCACCCAATTGTGCCGAAACATTATCGACGCAATGTCTTCAATACGTTGCACAAACTCTCTCATTCATGTGTTCGTGCAACCATCAAGCTTATAGCAGAACGGTCTTGCTGGCCTGTTATGAATAAAGACGTAAGGGAGTGGGCGCGCTACTGTGTAAGCTGCCAAAAATCTAAGGTTATCAGACACAACAAATGTCCCTTAAGCTCTTTCAAACTCCTGATGCTCGTTTCGACCACGTTCACCTGGATTTGGTAGGACCCTTATCAGATTCAAATGGATACTCTTGCCTCTTGTCTTGCGTAGATCGTTTCACTCGAAGGCCAGAAGCAGTACCTATCAAGGACATCACTGCTGAAACAGTGACCTGCGCTTACAAACGCAATGCGTTCAGTTAAACCTGTTTCCATTCGACCGCGATAAACTGATGTTTTCGTTCAACCTGACTTACGATATAGTACACGCTTATTCGTACTTCGGGACTCGCATCAACGAACTTTCGAATCAGCATACGAAGGACTTTACAAAGTTCATCAACGAGAACCTAGGTACTGTATAATCGATCACCAGTCGTTGTAAGAAAATCTGATGGTTAGTTACGTGTATGTGGTGACCTCTCGTTTGGGTTAAATAAAGCACTACAGGACCATTTATACCCTTTACCCAATCCAAGAGGATTTGTTCACTAAGTTGAGTGGATGCGCCATATTTTCGAAGACTGAATTTTCGGATGCTGTGGAAGAACACGTAGTGAGACGGGCCAAAAATGTAAAAGATCCACCGAGAGTATAATCCCATCCATGGTAAGAGACGAACAAGCCTTGTGTCCGACTACACGTCAATTATGCTGGAAGAGGTAGATAAATAACATAAAAGTCTGTACTGTACATCTGAAACACTGCTACGTCTCAGACAACTATTTAGTTGGTTCTAAACACCTGATGTTTTGATTTAAGATAACAGAACTCAAGTTACGTCTTCAGAAATTGAGTTCTGTAAACAAAATGGGATCGAAGATAATAGAACAGTTCC